TGTGCTAATTATAAATTTTGAACAAGAAATGTAGAGTTAGGAATTGCAATTAATATAAATCTCAGAACAGAAATAGGCCTCTGCACCTGGGGTGAGGGTGTGGCCATGAAAACAATGTGCCAACATGCCATTGGATGTTGGGACACATAATAACATCGGCCGCTAAGCATCGGCCAATGAATGTGAACTAACAACAACCAGGTCACGGGTATGGCTGCGACCGTAGGAAAAAATCCTAATATGAAGGTATTTTACTGTGCATTTTACAGTAATGTTCTGTTCTTCTAGAATATCATTAAAGTTATGTAAATAGACTTTGACTTCACATTTCAAATGTAAATTAACGTTAAATCACTGTAATGTAATGAAACATAATTTTCATGATTATTAAATGTATCTGTCTGTACATATGCATATTTAGATTGTTAAAATACATTCACAAATGTATCATGATTTCACAAATATCTGTCCGTTATTTGAAAGATCGAACTGTTGAATTCAAATGTAATGCCATGGAAAAGCATATAACATGATCCCTATAAGCTTGTGTTACATCACATAAATATTGTTATCATTCCTAGTTAGGGCGATCGTGGCTCAAGAGTTGGCAGTTTGCCTTGTGATAAGAAGGTTGCCGGTTCGAGCCCCATTATTTTCAATGATAATAAGGCATATCCAGATTACCTCATTATCTTCTGTTAGTGCTTCATCATGGGGAATATTTCCTATACAGCTAATACATTTTCAACACTGATTTACCATCAGTGTTCTGAACAGTCAGGCCCCATCTTATGTTAAAGACCTCATAATACTGTATCACCCCAACAGAGCACTTTGCTCTCAGACTGCAGGCTTACTTTTGGTTCTTAGGATATTTAAAAGTAGTGTGGGTTAACATTAAATTAGGCTTAAAACTTCCATTTTTGATAAAGCATATGTTCAGTGCAGATGACCCTCAATCCTTCCCATGATGCACTTCATGTTTCTTTTTCACTCATGTTTTTCACTCTCTGCGTGTTTATAAACTACTGTGTATTTAATTGTTAATTAGAATTTCTGGCTCTTCCACAGTGTGTCTGTTTTTCCTCTCTTCCACCATTAACTATTCAACCAGTCACAGCAGAT